TTGCTAAAGGGTTTGATGTGTGTATTTTCATCCGACTGTGAGAAGGAATAACTCAGGTTGCCTACGGAGACAGCAATAATCTGAGCAGATACGGTGCAAACATCTGCCTTGAGTTGGCTAATAGGGCTGAACCTGTTTGTGAAACAAATACTCAATTTGGGGCGATCCTTAAGGAGAGGGTTGACCCGAGGCAGCTGTTAGTGAGGTAGGTAGAGGATTCCTAAGGGCTTCGTGCATCCATCCTCATCCACGTCGGTGGTGGAATGATGGAAAGGTGCCTGTCAAGTTCAGTGAAATGTAATCAAAAGGGCTCTGTTCTTATTTACACACTAAAATCGGCAGCTACATTTTGGTGCTACAGTGGTTTTCTTAGTTCTTACAGAGCAATTGCAAGTGGAGAGCCACAGCTGGCACGTAACACTGACTGCTTTTGATAGAAATAAAGAATATCTTACTGTTAGCATCAAGCCTCGAGCCTGACTTCCAGCTAATGGCCCAAATAATCTTTACTCGAAGTGGTGTAATTGAGATGGAAGGCTGTCTGGGGCTCCCAACTGGTACACAGATTCCACATCCATGAGCTTTAGAGCATGGTCATTGAGCTGAAATGGAGAAGGTTAAAGCTCTCATTTTCATTATCAAACTCCCCCCATCTCCCAATACAAATGTGACATTTCAATTTTACACAGTCCAACTCTTCTTAAATCATCTGTATAAAAACTTCAGATCTTGATTGATGATGGATGAGCTATTGTCTCGTAAAGCACCCAGTTCTCATTACCCTTAAGGCATAACTTATTAATGATGAACCTGAAGTGCTTTCCCAGTGGGTCATCAGCAAGCGACTGCTCTAAGAGCGCAAGCCCAGCCTTGGTTTGGTAGGAAATTTCCAGGCCAAAGCCACTTTGAGGTAATGCATGCGGCATCTTGAGTGAAATACGGCCGTGTTTTGAGAGCGATGTAATACCTGACAGCAGATCCTGTCATCGGGGTGATGATGGGGAAGATGCAGCAAAGTCAGCATACAAAGATGCAGCAGCTCAGGTGAAGGCTGACCTTGAAAATTAAGGCCAGGTATCAGCAATGTGTGTGATGTAACATGAATGTGCCGGGGTACACCTTATGTGGGATGGTGTAGAAGACAGCTTAGTTAGGAGAGCATCACCTGAGGAGCTGTAAGATGTCCTCTCTTTCGCTTTTGAGGTGGTTGCAGTGGACATTGCAACCTTTTTTTTTCCTGATTGCCTCATTCCCCTTTCTGTGCCCCCTGTAAATCCACAGGACTCCCTGTGTATGAGCACACACAAGCTATTTGCGCTTCAGGAGACGCTGTGGAGTGTGCACCTCCTGCTAACTTAGTCCACATTAGAAATGGGATAGCGTAGACCAGGAGGGAATAGCCTGTACACAAGAAAAGGCCAGCTGAAGAAAATGCCCTTTTAACAGATGCATGCAGAAACGTTATTTCCATCTGCAGTCTAGAATGGCAGTAGATACGTAAAACTAGTGGCCTTTTGCTTTATTACAGTGATCATCATAATATTTCAGTGGCCCTGCTCAAACTCTCCATTGCATTAGAATGACTGTTATGAATTTAGCCACTTCTTGAAGCTTGCAGACCAGGTGTAAGCTGTGTGACATACCTGTTCTGGCACATGATGGAGAGGAAAAGATGCGCTTGGGTGCTTCATTTTTATGTTGTTTTTATTGTATGATTGGTTACAAGATGTCAGTGGTGAGAGTCCTGCTTCATCACTGGGCTAGTGGAAGTGCAAAAATAGCAGAAATGACAACTAGCATGTTTCCGGTTTTGACTACATGGATAAAAAGCTAGAATTTCAGTAACATGCAGGTATCTCTTTTTGCATGAAATAGCAAAGTGGGAGCCGTGCTTCAAGCCCGCTTTGGTGGCTCTGTGCCCTTGCCTGGGTGGAAGCCCGGCAGGAACATCTGCTCGCCGCGTGGCAGCGGCAGATCGAGCTGATGCTCTGCTGCCCGCCCTGGGCTGTCTCGGTAGGAACTAGGGAACATCTCACTTCATCTCCTACCCCAGTCTCTGAAAGAGTTCAGTGAAAAAGCCTTTGGGTGTTGCACATGGGAAAAGAAGTTTGGTTTCTGCCTGGCTTCCTTTGCTAGCTCATCCCTATAGTCAGAAACCTCTGCCTTTCCCCTCCTGTTTATTGTTTAACTTTATGTCTCACTTTCAGAGCAGTAAATTAGAATGAGATGATGACTTTACGATGATGAGTTCATTATCCGGTAGCTCTATTGTATATTGATTACATTTGTGCTTCATTTGCTTGACACGTAGCAGCGTTTATTAGGTCTTTGTAGGCATTGTTTGTGCTAAGGGAGGGCCCAAAAGTGCAAAATGTGTTTGGGTTTGTTAGGTCGGTGGAGCCAAGCGAGCTCTGCAGATTTAGAGCAAGCTGGAAGGGGAAGGCAGCAGTGAAATGAATGTGGATCCGACAGAACAGTGACACAAAGGTGCTTTAGAGATGACTCAACTTTGAACTCGCATTTATTTTAGTATCTATAAAAGTCCGGCCTTGATATTATTACTGATATTATTAGGGCCTCAGTGCATGACTAGACTGGTAGTCGTTACCAGACTGGTAAACTTTAATCAGCTCCCAAGTCAGGGCAGATCAAGATACTGCATCAAGTTTTGGGGTAAGATAGAGAGTGCAATGCTTGCTATTCACTGATTAGGGAAGTTAGAGCATTTTCCATGTTTGCTTCCAGTAAATCCCAGTGAAGGCTGGCAGGTTTTTACCCCGATGGTAACAAGAGGCCAGGTTCTGTTTACTTTTAAGCTGAAAAATTTCATTCTCCACAAATTGAAACTAGTGGAATGGCTCCTCGAGAGAGATGCTACCCGATATCCAAGAATGCATCAAAGTTCCTGGGGGAAAGAAGACAATTTGATAGGTATTGTCAAAAATGAATGCTCTAAAAAAGTATATTATGCCAGTGGCAGGTGCTCAGATGTACAGACCGATAGGGACACTGTTTGGAACAATGTGGGAGTGTTTCAAAAGAGCTGAATGTGGATTTTTCAGTATTTCACAGCTTGTTAGACTTTATTTTTAATGAAGATTTGGGCCATAGCAGATTAACCAATCCTGTATAGCAGGGTCAAAATAGAGGAACGGTGACTAATCATGTTTGCCAGTGTTTTTGTAAGTCCCACTTCTCCAGAGCAGAATTGCTAACAGATGCTGTGTGGGGTTTTTCAGGGATCATAAGAATATCATACAGACAAATCATTGCTATGCCTCTAATCTGGACTCTTTACCATTATTGTTTTCATTTTTAAGCCCCTTTTCAATGAAAAGCTTTAAACCATCAGTTTCTAAGAACTAGACATTAGTCCTCTGAACTGATTAATATGATAGAAAAATGTTTCTGCAGATGATCCGTTATTTAATACGTTCCTTACATGGGGGCTACCTTCTTCATGTGCTGTGGCCTGTAAACTCTAAAATGTTGAGAGAAAAGTGCAGTAATTCCTTCCTTGCTGTTTGTCAATGCCTGCAATCCCACTCCAGCTTTTAAAGGTTTCCTTTGGAGAGGAAGACTATCAAACAGCCTTAATCACTGGCACAATAATAGAGATTTACTCTTAATGCCTCTTTAAGGAGGATGACACTCCTGGCTGTATAGCACCACTTAATGTCATTCTAAGGTACCATTAGTAACTAACCTTCAAAATTTCTTTGCCGAGGCTTGAATCTATGACACTAAGTGGTGCATGGGGTTTTAGCTGCATCACTCCTATTAACTTTAATGAAAGTCATATGGCTTTGGAAATACTAGAGGCAGGTTAAGAAGCAAGAAAGGGAAATAGTGGGATTTAACAGGAGTTTAGAGGGTAAAAAGAAGTCACAGCTCCAAAGGAAGTCCCGATGATCCTTCCAACTACCGAAAGATCATTTTTATTTTGAGATTAGCCATATGGAGTCTGTAGAGATGGGGAAATGAGCCAGTTTGGTTAAACTAGCCAACAGAAACGTGCACTGAAAAAAGGGAACAATTTGATGCTAGTAAATTTCTCAACTTACCCAATTCTCAAAATTTCCTCCAACAAAGTGTCCCAGCCTGCAGGTTTCCAGGTAGGGAGTATAACCAGCTCATCCACCTGCTCCCAAAGCAGCTCACTTGGACCAGCAGCTGCCAGCTGAGCACTTCAGAGGTGCGTTTGGATCATAACCTAGGGAGGAGGTTGAACAAAACAATTCACAGCACAAACCTGATCTCGTTTCTCTGTTACTGTATGTCAAGCACGTAAAAAAACACGGTTTCTTTATTGAAGTTCTTAGAATATTTGTGACTAAGCTTGATATAAGGGGAGTCTGCAGGAGCTTTAGGAAAATCTGAAGGTTGATAGTGATTCACTGATCTAAAAAAGTGTGTGAGCCCCTGCAGAAGAGATTAGAATATGGAGCTTGTTACGGCAGTGCGGTGTGATGGCAAAGAAATGCTCTTGCAGGCCTTGGGACAGCTGCAGCTCGCTTGCTTACTGCTGCATCAGAAAATTCCTACCCCCAGGAAACTCAGCAGCTTATTGAATCTGTTCTAATGTTCATACATTAATGAAATACAGCATAGTATGATTGATTGCTTGTGTTTTTAAAGTCAATACAGTCCTGAAAGGTATTCTATTCATGAAGAGCAGTACAGTTAGTTACTGGCTTACACTGGAACAACAGATTAACCCAATAACTCACCCAGCGCCTGTCAGATCCCCTTGTCTGGTGTGAAGACACAGTAATCCGTGGTATCTTCATCGGAGTTCTTCTGTGTAAATAAATGGGTTGCCGTTTACAAATACTATAAGCTGCTTTGCCCTCCAATTTCCAGCGTGTTAGGTGAGCTTGCGGTGAGAATTTCTGCATTTTAGTGTCATGCCCTCTCTCTCCCCAGCACGCAGAGCAGCAGCCCACCCAGCTGGCTCTGCATCTTAGGTCTTACGTGTCTGCTCTTGTCTTTCGCTGCAGAAATCCTGAACGGCGGCGTGTATGTTGGCCAGAACAAATTCCTGTGCTTCGCAGACACCATCCATTGGCAGGACATTGTGCGGAACCCCTGGGCCTCCAACTTCACCTTGGTCCCGATGAACGGCAGCTCGGGCTGTAAGTACCACTCTCCGTCCTCGTCTTGTCATCAGCACAGCATGCACGTGGCCTCAGGCATTCCCCTTGTAGGGAGAACAATGTGACTGCAACATACCCAATGTTTCTCTGTTCTCATAATGTTTTCCCCTTTTTAATGCACCATTTTTCAAACTTGGAGCATCTGTATGCCTTGACTGCGATCAGCTTGACCCATTTCTGCAGTTCCCTTCCCTAGGGTTATTCACCTTCAGTAGCACTTGGGTAATTCACACACCAGCAGTGAATGAAGACTTTAGTGACTGGTGGTAGTAGTGGTGCCAAGTGTTGAGGCAGAATATTCCATAAAACAGGCAAGTGCTTTGGGAATGAATACCAGGCCATTAACAGCCCCCTCAGGACGTCTCAGCACCGATATTCAGGATGAGGCTAGGAAGAAGTTTGTGTCTGTAGCAGGTCCACCACCGCAGCAGACTATTGCTGGGGATGTTCTGCATGTCACTTGAGCGTGCCTGAAGATCCCCCTCAAGGATGTGTGAAGGACCTCTTGCCTCCTCACCTCCCACAGCAGGCCAGAAAAAACTTCAGTCCTTCAGCTGTAAGTTATAAATACGGAATTAAAACTCGGCTTAGAGAGCCATCATTTGTAAGGGACAAACCATGCCTAGCCCTGGATAGGGTTGGTGTAAGGCTGGTTTGCATATTTGCCTCGCCAGCCCCTCCGCCTGGCCGCGCTGGAGCTGGGGCTCGACTCCTCTGCCTGCAAACTGTGCACAGTTCCTCTTGTGTTATTTGCATGTTAAAAAAGAAGAAAAAATCATTGCTGGTGAGTTATCAGTTCTAAGCAGATAAAACTTTTGAAGATAAGGAGATGCCTGCGTTCTTTTATCAATGATGATTTCAGCAAGAAAAAGACCCCGTAGTTATTTTGTTTTGTTCTGTTACTGTTTTCCTTTCTTTTTTTTTTTTCTTAACCTTTGACAGTTCTTCCAGACAAATGCTTCTGCAATACTAAGGCAATAAGCTCTTTTAGAAAAGCAGCCAACATCAATACTATCTTTCTGAGCTAGTGATTTTGCTGGTGACTCCGGTGGGATCAGAGCGAGATGAGTGCTGAATACTTGTGGAATCACGACCTGAAGTTAATGCAAGCGAATGTTGCTTCCTACGCCAGGATGAAAGAATATATGTACCTACGCCCTGTTTTCTTATTTTTTCTTTTCATTCCTTTTGAAGTGCTTTGGAACATAGGGAAGGAACATAACAAATGATACTGTTTGTTCCTAGCAAACCTGGGTGCAAGTCTAAACAGTGTTATTTCAATGGTGATTGACGCTTATATGATATGCCAGTTTCGTTAAGAACTGGGCTCTTTTTTACCCCCATTTGAGATTGAACAGAACCTAGCTGGCCTGTCTTTAGTTTCATAAACACGAGTCTCCTTCTGCAAAAACTTGGATTTTGTTTCAGTTTTATTCCTGTGAAATTCTCGATATAATTAGCAAATCCAAACCAGGTTTTGTCTTCACAACTTACACAGCTAAGAATCTAAACCCCATTACACAGAAAGTTAGGAAATGGCTAAAATGATTTAATCAAAGCGTTTTGGATCTGCTGTCGCTGTGGTGCTACCCAACACTTCCACCTGTGCTAGGGAGAGTCAGATCTGGCTAGTGAACTTGGCAACCCCATTACACAGAAAGTTAGGAAATGGCTAAAATGATTTAATCAAAGCGTTGAGGCTTTCAGGAACAGCTGAGAAAAATGACAGCTGCTTTCCCTTGCTGAAATCTTGTTCAACAGTCAGGTGCACAAATCTTTAAAAATAACTAAAATTAAATAGCTTTCTGGGCCTGTATGTGTGCTTATAACATACATACACATATGTGTATAAAGCCTTCAAAAAGAAAAAAATCCCTCAAAGGATTGAGGGGACCTTACTATTTACCTGTTAAGAGATAAAGTGCATCCACTGCACATCTATATATGTGGTAGTTTAAAAAACAATTAAGACAATGTATTTGTACTGGTACAGAAAGTGCTTGGAGAAATGAGCTTTAAGTTCTAACCGCTGAATAGAAAACTGTATAGAGCATCATTAAAGAAGATATATTCCTCTTTACACTGCTGAAATTTGGCTCCTGTCACTTTTCATAGCCAGCTAGGCAATGTGCCTGCTGGCCAGGCTAATTTTCCACTGTTGCAAAAGGTGCTTAGTGTATCCCAAAGTCTCTGGTACTTTTCTGCAGAGGCTCCGTGGTAGATTGAGAGTCAGACTTTTTTGGATCCAGCCTAAAACTTTCCTATTTATTTTGCCCAAATGTGTTAAATTGCCTGAAGTTGGGTGCCTCTATCAAATGCAAACCCTGATTAAGCCCATTGGAACTGAGCAGGTGGGAGCTAGGCAGCATAAGCTAAGTGCAAGAGACCCTCTGGACTTTGTGTATTAGAAGATCTTGAGGGAACTGAGAGGCAGAGCAAGAAGACACAATATATTGGAAATATATTCCTGGAAATAATCTCAGTCCCCTGCCTCTCCACTTGTTTCATGTTTTGGATCTGCTGTTGCTGTGGTGCTACCCAGCACTTCCACCTGTGCTAGGGGGAGTCAGATCTGGCTAGTGAACTTGGC